TCCTTATGTGTTTACATATCTAACACGTAAACTTCAATTTGTACATATACGCTACCTTAACTATGCATGAAAAGACATATGCCACTTTTTAAAAGTTAACATAGTGGCAATTTTAATGTGATATGAAAGATTTGGGTGATATTTATGTAAAAAGTAATGTTTAGGTGTTAGATATGTAAATATAAAATAATTGAGTGGTAGTAATAAGCGAAGTTTAGGTGTAAGATATGTAAATACATAAAAATTAAGCATAAGTGTTATGTATGTAAATTCTCCTTTTTAGTTCGGAACATGCATGTTATTTTAACTCTTTTACTTAATTAACACCATGCTATGATTGCCATACTTAAACACATTTGACTGCTGAACGGAAGTCCTTTAAAATTTTTAATTATAATGCATTGGCTGGCTAAAATCTTCTCTTCATGTATAGTGATAAAATTTTTATTTACTGCAAAACAAAGTTATTTGGGTCAGCATTATTCTCTTCTTTGGCTTTTCACTTAATGTATATGCTTAGGAATCCATTTTCTCTTGCATTTTTTATTTTTAATGTTTATTTGAAACATTGATCTTTTAAACTTGGAATTCAAAGAATGTCTAATAACTTGTTCATAAATCATATCTAGTTATTGCAATAAAACTGATTTTTCAAGTAGATCTTAGTATACAAAAGGCTCGTCTCTGGTAATGATCTTATACATGAATACACCTTTGAGGGCCTATAGGCGTTTCTTCATAGGTTTCACGAAGGTTATACATTTCTTGATGGTATTATTTGTTTCATGTTTAACAGGGTATTATGCTGAAATCAAAACGATCGGAGTTGTTTACATATTCTTTGTGCTGTATGTAATCATTTTTTTTCTTGCCAGGTATTTCGCAAAGCAATTTGAATTAGCGGAAACTTTGAAATTGCCAATGTTTTTGCACATGCGTGCTGCACCTGATGATTTTTGCAACATCTTAGCGCAAAATATCGACAGGTGAATTTCCCGAATCAATTTTTCTTAATGTTCTGAGTATTTCTGCCATGCCACTCTGCATATAATAAGTGTTATTGGAAAATATGCAGATAGTAAAGTTTTAATGGTTCATCTTGGACATGCGATTAGTAAATATAACTTTGAAATTCTTTGTCCAACTGTTTGAAGAAATATGAAGAACAAGAAACTTCAATTTATGGACTACTACACAAAGCATATTCATCATCATTAATTATCTTATTCTACTTGTTTGATGCCAAATTTTTGAATCTTCCTTTTCCATTACTTTTGAATGGTGCACCAAGTGATCAACCTATCAAAAGACTTTTCGTTTAGTTTCTCCTCTACGAAACAAGTGATTTTACCTCATTTCCTCTTTTTTTAATTACCTCAATCCAAACAGAGCCTTAATGATCCCATTTGTCATTACAGGTTGATACAGTTGTGGTATGTTTGTAATTAGTAATTTATCAAAAGTGATAACCCTGGTTCTTTTATTTTTGTTTTCTAGATTCACTGGTGGAGTTGTTCATTCTTTTACTGGTAGTGCAGAAGATCTTGGCAGACTTCTATCATTTGACAACATTTTTATAGGTTTGATTAATTCAATTTTACCTAACAGTTGACATATTTTAGCTATTATGCGCTGACACTCTGTCGTAATGGAGTATGCGTTATCTATACATGTTGAGACACATTGAACATGTTAGTCAATTGTCCAGTTTAATAAAATTTGGACACACTTGTCTTGAATAACTAAATATAAATTTTGCAAATCTCAACCAAATGTATAAATTATTAAATAAGTTATGCTAAAAGAGTAAATTTTTGTAGTCCTTGATATTTTTATTAATTTCATACTCTTTCTTTGCTCATTATTATGATGATAGACTGGAGAATTTTTTATTCTTTCTTTTGCATCTGTAATGTCATTATTTTTTTTTTCAATCTTACATTTACATAAACACACACACACACACACATATATATAAGTGAATACATAACAACAATGGCTTCGTCGATCTCTCTCTCTCGCTCTGCTTGGGTTTCGCCTTTATGGCGAACCCTGATTTTTTGCTCCATTGTATCTTTTCGTCGATCAAGCACTACTCGTCGTTCGTCTTTTTCGTCACCTGTTTCGCTGTCATTTCCTTGCGTCACAGCGGCTCGTATTTCGTCGTTCCGAGAAGGCTTGAGTTTGTCTTCAGCGGCTCGTACTTCGTCGTCCCAAGAAGGCTCGCGTTCGTCGAGCTCTGGGGTGTTGTGTGTCAAGCTTCTCAGCTGCCTCTCGCAATCCTTCGTCTTTCGAAGGACGTCTGGGTGCAGGCTCTTCCTTTCCTCAAGCTCGAAGCAGAGATTTCGCATTTTACATTTCCGCCCTCTGCTCGACTTGGACGAGGTTACCGGTGATCTCCCTTACGACATTTGCTCTTCCGTCCACTGTAACTTTGTTGTCCTATCATCGCGCCTTTCTCTTTTGGTGATGGCTTCAAACAGATCGTATGCTGCTGCCTTTGCTGGTGTCCATGCCTCAGGTACTTCTAAATCTTATTCCTTCCCTCCGTGTAAGTTGGCGGTGGACATCAAGAAACTTGGTAGGAAAAATGAGAAGTCAGCCATTTTTTTACGGAAGTTGAATGTAATCAATTTGCTTCCTCTTGTCGTCTGAATTTGGTCAGAAAATTTCTTTATGACCATCTCAAAATGAAGCTTATTCGGAAGGAATTTGAGGTTATGCACATTGTTGGGGAGTGGACAATTGCACTTTTAGATAGAAGGTGCATTCTTATTTAACTTAATAATGAAGAGGATTACACACGCTTATTTGCTAGAAGAGTAATCTGGATTAATAACAGAGCTATAAAGATTTTGACCTACAGTCGGAACCACAAATAATTCTGGTCTGGATTCGACTCCATGGCCTGAAATTTCATTATTTTACTCAAAAGGTATTGTACTTTATTGTCTTAGTCTATGGTAAGCCACTCAAAACGGACATTCATACTTTTAATCTTTCCCGATCCTCTGAAGCCAGGGTACTTGTTGAAAGAGACATCACTTCAATCACTTTTGAGGAAATTTGGTTAGACACATAACACAATGGATATTGACAAATGGTTGTGATTGAGTCTTTCCCTTTGTATTGCTCGAATTGTCGTATGTTCGGCCACTCCAGTTCTCAATGTCACTATCTACACCCTGTTGACCTCATTTTTGTGAGGTTTTAGTCTCCTA